ATAAGACTTCTCCTTTTAACGAAAAATAAACAGAAATATAAAAATTAAATCACAACAAACATTAAAAACAGAAAAAAGAAATTAAATTATACTATACAAAAACTTAATATACCCGCACATACAAACGTATTAATGAGAGATGGGCTGAACCCCATGAATACCAGGAGGAGACAAAAATCACACTATAAAATTTAAAAAATGTCTGCACCAATTTTTCTTTTCATTGTTATTTTGTTTGCTTTATAATTGTTGTTTTTATTTTTTTTTTTATTATTTTTTTTTTTTTTACTTACGTTTTGAACTCACACCTGTCAGAAAATCCGACAATCAGCGAGTGTGATGTCAAGATGTATACGGTTAATATGTCTTGGAATAGGCGTGAGAGAGAGGGGTGTCCAACGGCGTCCTTCCTGTCTTGAATGTATTATTTATAGTTAGTGGAGGAGATCCCTCATCCAGCTTCTTTTAAGCCTCCTTCGGGTGCTATCGGGCATGTTAGTTGTGGCCATGCCTCGAATCAATGAGTTGGTATGTCCGTTTAAGTTATTATGAAATATCTTGTAGTTGGTACGTATGTGGTCGTTAACGGTTGGCATCTGTAAGTCTTTATCTTAAGAAATGTTACTAACGTACCATGGAGCTTTGGTGATAGTCCTGAAAGTCTTAGATTGAAAAGTCTGTAGTTTACGTATGTGAGTATTTTTCGCTGTCACATATATCTGTGAATCGGAGGTCCAAATAGGCTTGTTTTAATTTCGAATTTCTTGCAAGGAGTGAGTACAAGAGTCGTAGTCTTAGGTTTAGAGTTTTTGTTTTATTTTTGATATGTGGGCCCTATATCATTCTTCTTCCAAAGGTCATTCCAAGATATTGAACTTTGTCCGTCTGAGGAATTTGGATTTTGTCAAGGTAAATATGGGGGCAAGTTTCACGTCGAAGGGTAAAAGTGATATTTGGTGATTTGTCTTGGTTGAGTCGAATTTTTCTTAAATTAACACATTTTTTATATATTTATATCAATTATTTTATCTATAATTGCTTTATTTTTGCTATATAATTTGTTTGTATTTATTTGGATATGTACAACATTTCTTTGAAATATTTCTTGACCAAATAAAATTCGATGAAAATTCATGAGCGTTAATTCTGCATAAAAATAAACAAATAAATAAAAGTATTTCAATAAATAGAATATACATCTTTAAATATATCAATATTTTAAAATACATGCTATTAAAGAGTTGGTATTTTAATTATTTACACTATAATAAATCACGTTACTTAAGTAGTAGGCAATAATAAAAGAACACATTGTTTTTATATGAAAAAAAAACACAATAGCACTCGTCCTTATAATCAATTCATCATCAAGACAATAAATTCAAACGATCTTGTACTCCACTTGAATTTTGTGTATCTCCTAACAAATGACAGAATAAAAATAACAGGAGGATGAATGTGAAAGAGCTCCTAAGGACGGAGGGCCCATCCCCGCCGCGGACGGAATGACAATACCCTCATGACTATTCATGGGGCAATAACGGATATAGGACTTAGCGGCCGGGCTCGGATGAAAAATAAGGTAAGGTGCTGGGAGAACGCGGGGGGCATAGCCAAGTCCCGTCATTTGTGAACTCCCGCCCCCAGGCAAACAAAAACCCTGCCACTTTTTCTTCCTTATACCACCATCCTCCCCTTCCCGCAAGAATTACGATTAAGAGGGGACGAATGGTCGTCTCTCCTTGGGTAATGGCAGGAGAGCGGGACATCGGAATTCGTCACAAGTAGCGGGAGTAAATGACTGATTATAAGCCCTACCTACGGGGCATCATACATCACGGCCCAACGTTTCAGAGGGGGGGGGGTACAGGATCTAGGGATGTGACGGGGATTGCAGCTAGGACTCGGCCATTTGTCTTCCTTTCCATTCGGGAAACACAAAGGTATTCTTCACTCATACTTACTACGCTATTGTTTCGATATTTATAACACTTTACATACCCACAAACAGGAGGTTACAGACTTAGGATTACCGATTTCAATGAAACGTTTTTATAAACGTTTTTATTCAACCCAAAAATATTGGGTCAATGAAAATTCTTGTCAAGCTAGGAGCCGAAAATTGTGTTATAACATTTTTATGAGATCGTATTTTCTCGTGGTTGTACTTCAATTTAAAGGTTGTTTGATTGGATTGATTTACTGAAAATATTTTTTTCTCGGACATTTTCTGTTCTTCAAGACTAAAATAAACTTTCGTATAAACAATAGTTTAGGTATACTTGACCAATGCATGTACATAGAATTAAAGAACAACAACAATGGCATAGAATTAAGAATTTTTTAAATTACAAACAAAAAATTGTGTTTATACAGAAATACATGATTTTATAAATTACAACCTTTGTGGGTTTTTTTTTATTGTGGATAAATACAAATTAATGTGGCGAATAAAAACTGACACCATCAATAATGCAAATGCACAGGTATCTCAAAAACTCGACTAATATAATTAAGTTTATTTTTCCCTCTTTTTTTGTTTATTCTGTTTTCATCATTTATTATTTCTTTATTGGGTAATATAATATCCTGTCACATAGACCATAATTATAGTAATTTATACTATACAGACATTAAATATGAAATAAACAAAAGAAAGATAATACTACCACTAATGATAATAATAAAACAATATATTTCATCATTATTATAATTATATTATGTGTTATGCTTGTTTATGAGTAAATTTTTTTTTTATTTATAAAGTATTTTTTATCTTATATAATTATAGGTTTATTTACAGGTTATGATAATTTTATTTCTTTAATTAGATTTATACAGAAATCAATTTCCTTTGTGTTTAATAATAATTATTATTATTATTTTTAGGTATGTCCATAAATTATTATTTTTAAGTATTTCCTTATAAATTGTTTTCAGGGTGATATAAAGCAGTGTATCATAGTCATTCAATTTATTTTAATTTGTTATGTATTGACCATTATTCCGTAAGACCTGTTTCCATTTTACCACAAACTGCATAACGCCAAGTTCTTTGAACTTCTTGAAGGTTTATTGTCAAAACACTGATCTAAGTGAGACTATAAAGCCGCTTGGAGTATATTTGGTGAATAAGAAAGGTGGGGCGAAAGATCCCATCCAAGCAAGCAGAGTGCGTGATGTCAAATTGACTTCGGTTTGAGAGTGGGAAACACAAGCATCAAGCTTATAAAAATAGTAGAGTTTATGCAAATGGTTTTCAACGCCTGTATGCGACACATCAATCACAAAGAGATTGACCAAAATTTTGGTAAACAATGGTCTTAAAATTTGTTTCAATTTCTTATGGAAAACTAAATCCAGGAGCATTAATAACGTCAAGATTACCAGAACGAAATTCGGCAAACTAATTTTACACCATGTTCGGTTAAGGTAGTAGTCTCATAAACTATGAAATTTTATTTTTATGAGCTTCTGCAATATTTATACATTTTTTTAATATAATAGAAGAAAATATACTGATGATGACTTATAATTTCTTCCATGGTCACAGAGCTATAACAAACACAATATTAATCTAATTTCAAAAAGTAGTTTACAAAAATTCTTACTGACATATTACTAGTAGGATAAACACTCTACTTTAAGGAATTATATATTCTTATATTATTCATCAGATAAGAAGTGTTGGGTGTTGGAGACCAAAAAAAAAAAGACTTGTTTCCTTACCTAATACGTATGTTAGGAGACAAATTACATATAATCTAATATAATAGCAGATAACATAAGTTTTATTTTCATATATCTTTTTAATGGGTATGTTATATATATATATATATATATATATATATATATATATATATTTTTTTTTTTTTTTTTTTTGTTATCTTATGTTTCCTGGTCATGATGAAAGCCTAAAACGTCGATATAAAATAAAATATTATTATGCTGTTTATATTCAATTATTTCTCCACCATTAATGTTTTAATATCTGTGGCACGTATGAAATGTGTGTTAAGATTAATTTTGTAAACTTTTATGGATATCAATAGAAAGTTATTTTTTGAATTTTCTTTGTTTCTAATGAGCCAAGATGATCTATACGGCTATCACAGAAATGAACATTCCTTTTTGAATCATGGCTTGAAACTGGAAAATTGAACTTGCACCTGTGAAAATTGGAACCTTTTAATTGCATTGTTCCATAAATATGATTTTTGGACTTAGCACACAATTTACAGTCGCCACAGATTTCTGGAATTAACATTGACCATATTTTTTTTTTCCACGAACCAGCCAGCAAGGACCACGCGAATGTCATTTCCGTTCCCTCTTCACTCCCTCAGCCTTCCTCTTACTCCAATACTCTCTCATCCTCCTGGACTGTTACTGGCGCTCTTCTTTAGTCCATTTTCTTCCTCTTCTCTCCCTCCCACCCACAAGAACCCCAACCCCTTTCAGATTTTCCCTAAAAAGCTCTCTATCCAAGCAATCAATCTATCCAAGCAATCTCTATCCCGTGATTTTTAGCCTGTCTAGTTCCTCTTTTATTTGTTTTACATATCCATTCATACTTTTATAGCTGAAAACTTTGTCAACAATTTTCATGTTCAGTCTTTCACTATTCATCCTGACCATGTGCCCGTAGAACCTTAGTCTTCTGATCCTGACGACTGTTTCCAAATCTTCCAAATTTTTGTATATTGGATTTTAGCATGTATCCTTCTTGAGTTACCTTGGGTCCGTGAATCCTCCTCAGAATCTTCCTCTCAATCTTCAGGATTTCCTCTAGGCTCGGAAGGCTGACTATTTCCATATCATACAATATTACAGGTCTTGCTAGTGTACAGTAATGCCTTATTTTTTCATTTGAGGACAAGTTTTTTTTTGTTGTGACTATTTCTGGTTTATTATATTAAAATTCCCTTTTTTAACTATTCTAATAATATTTCTAAAAACATTGTCACAGACTAATATTTTCGCATTTGTTCTTTTTGCAGGAGAGAAGCCGTACAAGTGCCACTGGGAAGGATGCGGGTGGAGCTTCGCGCGCTCGGACGAGCTTACCCGCCATTACAGGAAGCACACGGGGGCAAAACCATTCAAGTGCAAGCATTGCGACCGCTGCTTTTCGAGGTCGGACCACCTCGCCCTCCACATGAAGCGGCACACGTGAGCCACCCAGCTCAACCGACCCCATACACTGCCACCCGAGCTCTCCTAGTCTTTCCCGTGAGACTCTTCGTTGCCAAAATTTACCACCTAGTCTCAAAGAACAAACGATCATTTGTATAAAATATAAATTAAAAAATATATAAAATAAGTTGACAATTGTAACAACTGATAAAATATATACTTACTAAACCAATTAAAAAAAAAAATTAAAAATGTATAGAACTTTTTAATAAACCGGCAGGAAGGATGATAAGTCAAGGAGCTAGCGCACAAAAAGTTTGTTTATTAATATTAATCACCAACAAGAGCTTTAAAACATCAGTACTTAAGATTACCAAATATTATTTAAATCAAGCTTTTCTGTTATTAATTAATTTTCCGTCTTTATACTATAAATAATATGAATAACTATAGAGATTTTACGGTGAAATTCAGATTTCTGCAGTTGATTTCTTGAACTAAAAGGTCTAACACCTTTGCTTTCATCATCAGAATGCAATTTTTTTTTTAAATATAATAATTCCATACACAAAATTATATCATTCCTCCTAATGACAATTTTTACACAGAGTGGGTTCTAAAATTTAGTTTAATGAATCGAATCAGAACCAGCCAGTACATAAGAAAAAGATTGAAGATAATAATGCAATATTTTATATTATCTATTATATATAATTGCAAAGATTTTTTGGCGAATTATTTCACATAAATTTATGCATTTTACTATAGCATATTAAATCTTTGTTTCCATCATCAGACTGTCATTTTTTTTTTTTAATTAATCCTTCCATATACAAAATAATATCATTCCGCCTAATGTTCATGATACGACTAATGATGCATTTTTAAATGTATTGAATAGAATCTAAAATATCTCAATTTGTGATAACAAAGATATAATTTAATTAAATATACTCCATCAAAATGTAGCTCCGGCACAAAAATATATAGCCGAATATATAATATTTGTTGATCTTAAATCTTTCAAAATAATTATATTCAATGTTTAGAAGAAAATGCAGTATCAGAAATATGGTCTTTAGAGCTTCAATACTAAACAAAAAAGAATAACAAAATAATCAAATAGAAATAATAATAAATTATAAGTAAACTTCAAACATTTTTCAATTAAAAACTAAAAAGAAAGAATAAAATAACAAGAGTAAAACATAAAACAAAGAATACAAATAAACTAATAATTTATATTTATATACATTCAATTATTAAGCGGATGACCGAATAGTTGGGATTTAAAGTCGGAGATGGTATGCAGGAAGGCTCACTTATAAATAGTAAAGAAAACATTTCAGTAACCATATATTATTGTATTATCTGTGAAGCTGAATAAAAGTTTTATCAAAATAAATGTTGATATCTTAACAGTAACAATAAGTATAATATTTAATAATAAGTAACAACAGGTATAAGTAACATATTTCTTCACGCTAGCTCCCTGACTTAAGAAGAACCTTGCCGTATTTTTGTTATTTAAAAAGTTTCCTTTTCGGTCTTATTATTTTTTTAAAGTAATTATTATTTTGTTTATTAATTTATTTGGATTTTGTGAATATATGACCCGAGCAAAGTGGTGGAAGGGCAATATTTTTGTATTTAAAACATTAAGAAAAAAAACCAACAAATGTAACAAAAATTGAGGTATTTGATTTGACTAGTTCTAACGTCGTTATAGGATTAATTTGTAAAGAGGTAGTAAATGATAAATATATATATATATAAAAATAAGTATTATGTAAGGACGGTGGCGGGCTGGTCGAGCGGTGGCTCGCCGACTCTCATAGATTGTGATACCGAAATCACTCTTAGTTTTATCATTATTTTTTCCCTCCTCCCCCCTCCTTTGTTTCCCACATTTGTTTCCCCCACCTCCCTCACACCCGGTTGCCTGAGTCCTTACTCGAACCCTTAGAAAATTGTTTAGCTTGTTAATAATTGTTTGAGAATTTGATTAGCCTCGAATGAGGGAAATAGCCGCTTCAAACGGCCTCTTCTTCATACTATTGATTCATTAAAAAAAAAGTTTAAGAAAAATTTTTGGATCGTTAGAATGTTGATTTCAGTTGCGGTTATAAGCGACTGATAGAGCTTTTTATTGTTAGTTTATTGCTAATTGCTAATATTATATGAGAATATGTATTAAGTTTTAACCTTATATTTTATGTATAATGCATTCCTGTTCTATTCTGTAAACACATTACTAGTAAACTTGTTTTGTTTTACTTTTATTTTATTTTCTCTGTTTTTTAAAGAGTGTGAACAGATTTTATTAAGATATAAAATATACATAATATATATAAATATATATATATTACTGATTAATATTTTAGTACTTGTAAACATTTTGTACATAACTTGTATTTGGGAATGCATGGATAACATTTTTGTGTATGTAAGATAAGATATTTTAAATGAAAAAAAAAATAGAAAATTGTATATTTCCATTCGAGTATTATGAGGTTCGGAGAGAGAAGGTGTGTAAAATAAGCAGAACTTAAATTAAATAGTATGTTATATGTGATGCTTTGAGTGTTATGAAAAGCTGATTATAGAAGAACGGTTTTTTTTATGGGAAAAATTAATAAAACATCATTATAGGTTATAAAATCCGTTTATATGTAAGCGTTTTACACTAAAACTTAATTAATAATGTTAAATGAAAGGAAAAATTATGAATGTTTTTGAAAAAAATAAATAAACAAAAAAAAAACACAACATATTGTGAATGATCTTCCAACGAATAAGATAATACATTTAAAAATAATAAGAAAAAAAAAGAAAAAAAGTTTGGTATGTTAATACATTTTTAAATAAACCCATTCACCCCAAACCCCAACGACCCTTCCAATTAAAATCCTTTGGTAGCAGGAAAATGGAGATGATGTTTTCTTGTTCTTAATGTACTACTATGCTTATATTTTTTACATTTTTTCTCTCTTTGTAAAAAAAAAAATTAAAAAATACTTGATTATAAATATATATATATATTTTAAATCTTGATGTAAATTTGTATTTTATTTGTTTTGTTCTTGTTGTTCTGGCTGGGCTACCCGGTCGGATGTCTGTTGTTACCAAACTCTGTATGTCTTCAACAATATATATGTACTCTGTACTTGTTACCGTTTCGCCTGCTGCAATGATTCCTTCATGTAACTGAGGAAGTTATATTAAAAAAAAAAAAAAAGGAAAAAAAAAGAATGTACACTGCGTCGCAAAGAGCGGCTGCAGGTCGAAATAGTATGAATGAATGGACAACATAATCAAACCAGTACAAAGTAGTTCAGTGCAGGAGGTGAAGTGGTCCGAATGTTTTTTGTACTATGTTGTTACCTCGTAAGAAATGAGCTCAGACCCTTCTATGGTCCTTGCGTATACAGGCAACCATTGTATACGGTTTTTATTAAAAGAAGAAAAAACAAAAAAATAATAAATACTCCTTTCCCCTGTTAAATCCAATATGTATTTAAAAAGAATAAATTTGTATTTTAAAATTTAAATTGCCATTTCTTCTTATTTGTTAACCCTAGTCCATTTTTCCTGGTATGATTTCATGTCATTTTACCACATTAAAGTTGATGAGGAACACATCATCAAATATAAAAAAAAAGTGCCTACATACAAGAAAAATTAAATAAAACTTATATTAAAAATACAGTGTAGAATATGGAGACAAAAATGCTTCTTTTTATTTATTTTTTTGATTCAGTAATAAATAAATTTTAAAAAACCTATGGCCTGAAAATAAACTTTTATTAAAACTAAACCGTAAACTATGAAGACAAAAAACATTTAATTTTATTATGTATTTTGTAAATCAGTTATAAAACAAAACAAAAGAACTTAAGTCAGAAAAAAGTGTTAAGTGAAAATAAAGTGTTAACCACGAAGACAAATATAATTTCTTTTTGTTAAGTATGTTTTAATGCAGTTAAAAAGTAATGAAACAGAAAGAGCCTATAGCATAACAAAAAAAAAATTTATGAAAAAGAAAGGGTCAAGTACGAAGACAAAAACATTTATAATTATTAAATTATTTTTATTCACTCATAAAACAAAGAAGAAAAAATCAGCTAGCCTGAACAAAATAAAATAAAATTATAGTAAAAATAAGTTTAAACTAGGAATAAAAAAAAAAATTATTTATTTTTTTGATTCCGTAATAAATAATTTTTAAAAAACATATAGTACTAAAAAAAAGGAAAAATACAGTGTAAACTATGAAGACAAAAAACATTTATTTCTATTAAGTACAAGTCGGTAACAGACATGCAGTGATTACGTTAAAAATGGAAAAATCAAAACTATATGCTGCGAGTTTCTAACATACAGGTGAACTAAAATTAAAAAAAAATTATAGCCCGACCATGATTAATTGACAGCACAAGGTCGAACTCATGCGTTACCATGTTGAAACACAATATGTTTTATTTTTTTCTAACTCTCCACTATAATACAAAACATATACAAATTTATACATCAGCCTTACAAGTAATCGCGGTCAAACTATTTACCTATTCAAGATTCAAGTCTCTGTTAAAAGGAAATAAATATTTCTACAAAACATATGTTATAAAAAAAAAAAAAAATTATGTAAAAATTATAAATGATGAAAAAAATGAAAAATACAAGTCTTTTATAGTGAAATGATTTCTATCACCGGTTTAATAAGTAAATCAAAGTAGGTAAATACAGTATAATGGTATTTTTGTATGTTTCAGTATCCAAAAAATGCAAATGAAAATTAAAACAAAATAATCTTTCGATGACAATACAATAACATGTTTATAAAATACAGAAAAAAAATATACAGGTTTAAATTCATATGCTCATGAAGAAACACTTCGCACACGATAATTGCTACTTACATCTATTGGAATGACAAATAAATTTTAGAGCATAAAATTACAATCGTAACAGTTTTATTTTCTAAAAGCTGGAAATAATTTCATGGAGAATTGACATATAGTGACATAGTCACATCCTAAAGAAATTTCAGGAAAAATTTTATGAAGAAAAAGAAACTTTATTTGCGAATAACTTAAAAAGTATACAAGTATTTAAATCGTTCAATAATTAACAAAGATCAGTAATGTACACATGTCTTTGTTTATTATTATGAATGAACCAATGTGATTTGACTGAAACAGTTATTTTCTCTATCTCATAATACATTACACTAATTTCTATGTCTCATTGTCAGTTGTTCACTGACGAATATACTATACGGATCATTCTCAATTACAATGAATACTTTCAAATACATGCTGTTGTGAGATGTTACAAGCGACATAAAATCGTATGGATAAGTATTGAATAATATTTTTTTAAGAATTTTAAAGGAATTATATAAAGTGAATCCATCCTTCTTTTGGTTAATACTTCTGCCAAAATACTAGAAAAAAATCTTTATAAAAAAAATGAAGAGCATTTTCCCAATAATGTTTGCCAGTAATAAACATAAATTTAGTTTGTTATTTAAAATAAAACGAACAAGGAAGACATGGACCTCACTGAGGATCTTAAGCCAGATATGTTGAAAACCCAGATATACTGCATATAGAAATAGATATCGAAAGGCTCAAAACAAAAAAGGGCCCAGAGGTAGAAAATCAACCATCAGAACTGTTGAAAGATGGAGGAGACGACATAAGAACCAATCTACTACAACTAATCCAGAAAATATGGGAAGAGGAAAGGATACCTAAGGCTTGGAATGCGGGCCTAATCTGTCCAATTCTAAAGAAAGGCTCCGTGCATAAGTGTAGTAATTACAGAGGCATAGCACTCCTTTCGGTCACCTACAAGATAATTAGGAGATCACCAAGCTGGATTCAGAAAAGATAGGAGCAGATTAGACCGAATCTTCATTCTAAAACAAGTACTCGAAAAACGATGGGATGTATGCAGCTCAGGACGTCCATGTCCAATTTGTCGATTACAAAAGACTCTGATAAGACAGGCACAGCAGATCGGCCTACAACAAGTAAATGAAGACAAATCAAAATATATGATAAGCAAAAAATTCTACTCCAATAACAGAATCTGCGTCAAATGAAAATCATTATCTAGAGTAAAAAAAATACCTCGGCTCCACAATAACCTTAATGAATGACAAAGGAGGCAGAAATAGACCAGCGTATAACTAGCGCAAACAGAGCTATTGGAATTCCGAAAAATTCCAAATTAAGGGTGCACAATGCTATGATAAACCTAGTTCTAATATATGACTATGAAACCTCGACATTAACTAGCACCCTAGAAAAAAGTATTGAAATATTTGATATAAAAATTCCGGATTATAACCGGAGCGATCTGGGATCAGAGTACTAACAAATAGAGAAGAAAGACCAATAAAGAACTGCTTACAGAAACTGGTCAATCAATATCCTATGATATGAAGGCACGTATGTTCGATAGGCGGCAGAGATGAGCAAATGCTACTCTGAATACTGAGTACCAAGTATTACTCAAATACTGACCTTTTTGAGTAACAAAAATTTAATAACTACTTTAATTGATGTCAATCGATTAACTGAAGTAGTGATCAAATTCCCAATAGTGATCCAATTTGTGTTATATCCAAATAGCGCACTCGGTTCTCTAAGTAGCATGAGCATACATGGAAGAAGGATAGCTTGTAGCAATCCATCTGGAAGTCTCTACGTAAAATTGAATGCCTCAATAGAAAGCAAAAGACCACGTGGAAGGTCAAAAAGCAAATGTATCCACAGAACCAACAAACCTGCGTGCAGATAAATGAAAAGAAATAGCCCAAGAAAGGCAGAAATAGAGTAGCCTTGTTAAGGCGGGAAAAGACCTACATAGTCTGTAATGTAAAACAAAACAAAAAAAAAATGTTTAATACTACTATTTAGTAAGCTATCAGTTCATAAATATAATCTACAATCTACCACGATTCAACCCTTGCCTGTTTCATTAAACTTATAATTTAAATATTAGCTTTTTCCAGCACTTGTTTGTCATAAATTTACAAAAGTTTCTAGACACTGATTAATGCTTTTACATATCTGATAACGGCAAAAAACTCATATTTAGCAGGTTGTTTGTTAATTTAACATAAAAAATAATCAAAATAACTAGTAAATGCTAAACTTCAATAATAGAGATCTAAAAGTGATAGCTAATGTAATTGAAGCACATTGACAAGCATTCCAAAAAGTGTTCAATCGAAGGCACTTAACTCAGCACCAAATCGTTCGATTTCGATGATATTTATCTTTATTTCGTAGCGAATTAAGTAGGCTATCAAATATTAATGGTAAATATAAATATAGAAATATTAATAAACTAAGTACTTTTTTTTTCTTCTAGTACGAGGCTTGAACCTGAACTCTCGTACTACACAGAGTGCATTTTAAGAGGAGGATGGGGTATTGGGAGTACTGTGATTATTCCTAGGTATAGTGCGTCTTAGTCTGGTGACGCGGCTCACTAGTGTCCTGTAAGTGTCAATTTTTCAGTCTAGTGATAGATTTTTAAGGTATGTCTGCCATCTTATAGGTTTGTGAGTAAGTGGAGTAAGTGTTTTAAAAGTTGGGTTTGTCGAGTATTTAAGGCTATCAAAGAATTTGATATGCCTGCGAGTAACTACCTTCGGTAGTTTGAGGGTGGTATGTAGTAGGTCCGTACGTGTTTTTTGTACGTATGTGTAAAGTCGTGTGCCTCTCTATTTTTCTTAGCACACCGTTCTGAAACTGTTGGGGCTTTTTTCAATATTGCCGGTGATATGTTAGTTAGGAGTGGTGCTCCATAAAGGAGTGCCGGTCTTAAAATGCTCTTGTATATTGTTAATTTGAGGCGGAGGGATAAGTTAGGAGAAGTCAACAGATGGTTGAGCCTGTATGCCTTGGTCCTTACCGATTTTAATTTCTTGTTACAGTGGCGAGCCAGTGTTGGGTGCCTATCGAGGCTAACACCTAGAATATACTATACCGCTAACCGGTCTGTTCTTGCTACCCCCTACCTTATAGACCTTAGGGAGAGAGCGCTTTTGAAAGGAGAAAATAAGGAGTACTTATCGAATTTTTAGGCAATTTATGAATTCATCATAACGTCTCGATTCGTCGACAATGTCACACGGTTTGAAACCTTCCACTTTAGCATTTCCTATTTAGGTCCTGATATGAAATTGAGAATTACAACTATATTTTACGTGATATTTCCTTTTCATTGATACCACATTCGTCAAAATCCATCACTCCTGAGAGGATATATATTCATATACAATATATAAGATCATTCGAGACTGCGGAAAATATCACAAATATATATTAACATTATATGAAAAAAAAAGTGTTGAAATAAATAATAAGAAAATAGTCAGTCAGTTTTCGGTGATTCTTTCGGAAAAATAGATAGATCGTTATTTCCATTTTTTCCTCTCTCACGGTCAACAACTTTCTTCAAATAGCCTCCCCCGTCTGAACTCTTCCGGATCCGCGCTTTCTGAGAAAAGTTAGAGAGTTAAATCAAATTTCTAAACTCGAGCCCTTGGCAAAAGTCCGAACGGAAGAGGCTATGAATACAGTTAAGGCCCTCTCCCCCATCCACCTTCCAAGATACGACCAATATCGATATGCTCCTTCCAAGTTTCTTCAATATTCCCAATCCTCCGAGAGCCATTTGGCGTATAGTTTCCCCCAACCCGCGCCGCAGCCCCATCTGTGTAACGGCAAAATATGAAACTGCACACGTTCATATCAGCAGTAAGGCATTCGCCTCGGGTGTTATCGTTTCCCCTATTTTTGGGGAATGGATACGACCTATAAGAAAGAGAATATTCATTCAATGCATTCATAGGATGATACCAGTCAATATTGTTTAAATAATATATAAGCTATCGGTGAATGTTGACGATCGAACATAAAATAAAACTAATTTTCAAGGATTAAGATCATCTTAAAAGACGGTGCATATTATTACACAATTGTTTATCATTTCCAAACATATATATATATCAGATGTAACCCAACCTTTCTTGTAATATAAAACAATATAAATAAAAGGTGATTCATTTTATATTCCATTTATAGATGACCTAATATTGGTCCATAAATGTTTTTTTACATAATTAGTTATTTGCTAAGAAATATAGAACACAATACCGATTGCTTCAGTTAATAAAAGGCTTTTGAAAAGTAAAAATCAAAACAAAGGACATAAACCAAGGACAACAAAAATATTTTGAACAAAATGTCTTCGCACGAAACAGTCCGATTTCAAAGATTTTTGTTGTTAATTTTTTACGAAATGTCGTAAACTTTCAAACAATATTGAAACTTTATACTTTTTAAATTATTCGCAAATCTAATTTTACCATTCCTTGTAACTTTTTTCCCAGCTTCGTTTCGATTATGTATGTTACATATATATATATAAGTTACGATTCGACTGAAGAAATAACAACACAGCTTGTGGGAAGCGGCTTTATTTCGAAGTCTTATATAAGTTTTCTACACTGTATATTAATACAACACTTTTGTAACCTCACCTTTTTGTTATCTATTAATTCTCTATTTTAACATGTGTTTTTAAACAATTATTTAGACTATCTTAAGAATAATCTTATAAATATCCTATATACAGTTAACTCCCTCCCTCGAGTTCCTTCGTATGGAGGAACTAAAAAAAAAATATTACCAAAAGAAAAAAAATAAAGAAAGGTTAACACTTAACTTAATAATAAAAATTATTTGTAACAAAAAAAAAATAAAAAGGTTACACTGATCTTAATGATATCACTTACTTTGCAATAGAAACAGAAATGTCCAATTCTTAGTCTACAAATTATTCTAAACGTAATACACTTATAATTAATAGAAGAATCACAAATAAGTTTATACAAAATAAATCTGAATGTTTCAATTTTTGACTTTCACAATAATTGTAATTATTCTTAATTATACGTAAAAATAATATATTCTTATTATCGTGACGTCTTCTGCTGAGCGTAACTACCCAGCTCGAGTTCCGACACTATATGGGGTACGCGAAGTTCTTCTAAGTGAACCGTTCGTGATCGAAATGGATATTTTACGTCCCGGATGGTAAACAAATTGTTTTCTCTTATTGTTATCACTTTATAGGGACCCTCATAACGCGCAGCTGTTTTATTCCTGGCGGTTCTTAATCGTCCATATACAACAGTACCCAGCGCCAACGGACCCTTCTTATAATTTACAGATCGGTTATTCGCTCTATCCACTCGAGTCTGTTTTTTTCGGATCAACCTTTCTCTAATCTTTGCCCACGTTCCTTCACGATGTATTCTCGCCCTGAATAGATTCGCCTTTAGGTCAGTATTATCCTTATCGCCTTTAGGTCAGTACTATTAGCCGTGGTTAAATCGCCTCTGTCCCTCCGTCTTTGGCCAAAAACATTTCAACGGGGGATAATCCCGTCGCTGCGTGTATCGTGTATATGCGAACACCGCGCGCGGCATAGCGTCGTATGGGTCAAGATTTCGTCCCAATTTGAATAACCTGAGGTGTTCCCCTAAAGTGTTATGTAGTCGTTCCACAATGCCTCTACCTTTAATATGATGCGGAGTGTTCAACCGCCACGTGATACCCAACGTTTTGCTTTCGTTCCGAATTAGTGAATTATCAAATTCTCTTCCGCAATCCGATACGATATCGTCGGGTACTCCGTACGTCGCACACCATTGTAATACTCCCTCCCATATTGCCCTAGGTCTTTTCGCTTCGATGGGTTAGGCCATTGCGATTTTGCTGAACGTATCTATCGCCGTTAACCACGATTGCCCTTCATTTGTATAGATATAAATTTGTACTGATCGCAGAGGTTCAGTCGCGGTGGGTATAGCAACCTGCTGTACTACCGGGGGATGGCGATCTGGTTGGCATTCTTCGCACTGCGTAATACACACACGTACGGTTCGGCCCATATTCTTCCAGTATTATAGTTATTTTAACGCACGCAGCGTCTCTTCTATTCCCCTATGGTTCGTTTTTCCCATGTTATGTTCAGTAACAAGTTTTAATTGCGCCGCTGGATCGGCGATCGTCTCCACTTGCCTTAAACATCGAATTAAGGGATACCCCATTCCTACCCTTTCCTGCCTCCACAACCTCTTTAATTTGTCCACGATTGTCCGATTTCCTAAATACACGTAACAGTTGCGGCCAGATTTGCTGATTTCCGGAGAAGATTCGTTCCAGTTCGACTTCGTCTATTGAAGTAGGCGTATGGACTATTATAGTTTCCAAACCCTCATACACGCTCCTCCGCGTTTCCGTCCCAGAATCCTGCTTTGACTTAATGATTATCTGAAGTTTCTTATCATTGACAATCTCATCTATTTCAGGTAGTTCCTGGGGTCTATCCGTCGAGATGACGTTTTCCTCCGATTCGCTGTCAACAGGTGAGCCTTCGGGCTCACTTTGTGTCCATTCTAGCGATCTTAGTGCTAACGGTTCCACGGGAGTATTTTCTTCCTCGATTGCATTCACTATTAAATCTCGTGATAACCAATCTGCCACGACATTTTCGACTCCTTTTTTGTGAACCGTATTGAAGTTATATGCTGCGAGACGTTCTTTCCATCGCGATACCCGTGCTGACGATTCTTTAAGTGTACCTAAGTATATTAGAGGTTTGTGGTCAGTTAACAACTCGAACCGTCTCCCGTATACGTATGGACGAAAATGTTCTACCGCCCACACTACTGCTAGAAGTTCTCGTTCTATAGCGCTGTATCGTCTTTCAGTATCGTTTAGTTTCCTGCCCGCGTATGCTATGGGTTTTTCATCTTCTTCGAAATTCTGTGATAGGACCGCCCCGATAGCTACTTCACCTGCATCCGTGCTAATTTTAAATATTCTATTAAAATCAGGAAATACTAACAACGGTCTCGTGGTAAGAATCTCTCTGCATTTCTTGATACTTGCTAAATGTTCAGGGCTTAGTTGGAATCGTTTCCCTTTTTTCAAAATTTCGGTTAATGGGTGTGTCAATTCCGCTATACCAGGAATGAATTTTCTGTAGTAATTTATCATTCCCAAAACCGCCTGACCCCTCGAACGTTTTTAGATAATGGTGCTTCTCGAATGGCTTTTACGCGCTCCTGATCTGGTTGCACCCCTCTCCTTGAGACTATGTGGCCCAAAAAACGAATTTCGCGTAAACCGAATTCAGATTTTTCGCGGGATAATTTAAGTCCAAATTCACGTAACCTGTTAAAGACTTGTCGCAGGTGGTTAACATGTTCCTCTTCAGATTTACTAAAGACAATTAAATCGTCCATGTACATCTGGGAAAAGTCTTCGCCCAGTCCCCTCTGTAGTTCATCCATGAGGCGCTGGAAGGTTAGTGGAGCCCCCTTTAATCCAAAAGGCATCCGAACAAATTCAAAGTGGCCTCGCTCCCATGAAAATGCCGTCTTCTCTACATCATCCTCGGCCATTTTAACTTGGTGATACCCACTCTTGAGATCTAACGCACTGAAAACGGTTGCACCCGAAAGGCGATCGAGTATGTCTTCGACCCGTGGTAGGGGGTAACGCTCGTCCTTTGTTGCCTCGTTTAACTTCCGGTAATCTACTACCACTCGATACTGTTTAGCCCTTTCGCCTTGCCCACCTTGCTTCTTCTCGACTACCCATAATGGACTATTAAATGGAGAGTTACTGGGTCTGATTATTCGCTGCTGAAGGAATTTCCCTAACTGCTCCCCAATGATATCCCTCATAGCTTGAGAATATCGCCTATCCTTAACATATATTGGGGCTTCCGTTTTTAGATGGATACGATGTACAGTTTTCGCTGTGGTCGGTAAAAACTCATTTTAGCGGTAAAAAAGTTCTTTGTTCTGTTCGATCAATTGTGCTATCGCTTCCTTTACGCACTCTATTGCCCCGATTTTAATACTTTCGCTATTTCCCTCCGTTGTGGTTTGGTATTGTCGCTTTCCTATAATGTAACGCCAAGATTTGCGGCTAACTCTCATCTTTAGCCCCTTTTGCTGGAGGATATCGCACCCTATAATTAAATCGTATCCCGGCATTAATTATTCGATGACGTGAACCTTTATCCGCGAATTTATTTCTGCTAATTTATAGAGGTTCAATGAAGTTTCTCCCAAAGTTTGACATTTACCACTAACCGTGGACACGAAGCAGTTACACAGCTTGCGCTTGCCCCAAATACTCAGTTTCTCAGCCCTTCTTTTACTTATTAATGAATTCGAGCTTCCCGTATCGATTAAAAATTTTATTTTCGAATCTCTTAACCTCGCCATGGGCAACCTAGTCCACCGTCCGCTTGTCCCACTATTATTGATTATTAAAGTACTCGATTGCGTCCCGGCGTTATTTCCTTTACGGAAGGACCTCCCCTCCAAGGACTCCCACTACTTACCTCGGGTTTCCTCGTAGCCGGGCTGCTGCGCTCAGAACAGACGCTCTGATTTTTGGGCTCCCTCTGATTGGCCACAGGCTTCTACCATTTTTTCAGTAAGTCTGTTATATGCAATAAGCAGTTTTTCAGCAAATTCACCCTCGGATTGCCCTTGACTCCTTCGTTCCTTAAGCAAATAATATACATCCTCTTCCGGGGTCCATCTTCCTCCGCCATATAATTTCTTTAGCCTAACTTTCAGCGTGTCCCAGGAGTGTGTCAAATCCCCTTGAATGGCATTTATACGCCTCGATATACGACCAATTAGAGACGTCTCGAGAAGACTCACGTCGGAATCCAGTAGTGTACCCTCTTCTCTTCGGGACACTATCAGATTCTTTATCTGATCACCTCCCTTGATGAAATGGTCAAGATCGCCTATTACTCCAGTAAAAGGTTCTAGTTGACTAATTACTTCATGGATAAACGCTGAATTCTGCGTTCGTACCTTCAATAGTTCTAGCTGCATAGTGTCTGTCGCCTTGGTCAGCTCAGATTCTAATTTCGAGTGTTTTA